AATGCACTTTGACTTACGAGGTTGTTCGGTGAACCTTAGTTCTAACTGACCAGCGCTCTGTGTGGCAGCGGACTTTTCCGCTCGAAGGGTGGAACCGACGGCCTCTGAAGACGACGATTCAGTCGAAACGTTAGGCCATTAATAAAGGTTCCACCGAACAACCTCGTAAGGCACAAGAAAATTTATTAAACTTGAATAATGTCTTCGAAGCAAGTTATAAGAAGGAGCCTCATTCAGCGAAACCGCCCTTTTTCATACCTTTATGCTCTCATACAATAGGCTTTATATTCACTTCTATATCATTTAATTAAGTTCTACGTGAAGAGATTGATCTCTGGACCACTTTTCTGATTTCTGTACTATGACATCATTTCTGCACAATTTCTTTTTCGATTACAGCGCGCAGGTTCGATGCGATGGGCAGGGGGGGAGCTGAGGAGAGGAGGGAGGATGAGGAGCTGGGGATGCTGAAGACGCCCGACTGCTTCCATTATATCCAGTATTCCCCTCTCCTCCCAGGCGTAGTAGCATGCTCCTTACCATTCCACATTTGATAAGGCCAAAAATGAGGTTGAGCGGAAACAAGGTGTTAGCGATCCCAGTCTCGTTCCATTCAGCAACGCTTAGGGGGTCTATTGTAAGTAGTAAGCTATTACATGCCATTTATAGAGCTGCAAATTCACGTGTGTGTTTTTGTGGATAATTCTTACTCATCTGCTGGCTACTCGTCCTTGCATTTATTCTTGGTGACGCAAAACGAACAACTAGTGCGAGTGTCTTATTGTTAGAGATCTATAGAAGGTGGGCGGAGACCACTGTCGAATGTGGGCGGAGACCGCTATAGAAGGCGTGTGGAGTCCGCAGACTGGGCGGGGTTCGTTCTGCTGTACTGGCATAAAAATGTTACGGGGCTTTTTGGCCGAACTAATTTACTCTTTGAAAACTTCGATACTTTATTCTAAATGGGGTTAGTGTGAAAATGAGGAAACGATGGAAGAAATAGCAATGAATCATTCTTAATTTCGAAAATTTCATGCTAATTAGACTGTTGAATTCAACAGTCGTCCTTTCGGCATACGAAGGCTGCCTTTTGGGTGCACAACTTTTTAACCCACATGCGTGCAGTAGCACGACGGTTCGTCTCCATCTGAAACGAAATTAATTAGTTGACCTTCAATGATGCTTGAAAATTTCCATGGAAATCGAATATGAACTGACATTGGCGCAGTAGTGTTCTGTTGAGTTCTTTTTCTCTGGCTGCGCCCTTCTCAGCTGTGCCGTTTCACACTGAGGACACTCGAAGTAGTCAATCACGCTGTGGTCGGTCCATTGCCAAACGTAGTCAGCCATTACCAGGCCTAGCCAAACCGATGTTGGCACATTGTTTCTGCCGTTTTTCATCGCATGATTGCGATATTTTCTAGCAATGTCTAAATATCCACAACTTACTGAGAAATTGGCCGGACTTGCGGCGTGCGGTCGCGTCGCGGCGCTCTTAACAGTGCTTTGTGGTCGATTTTAGCATGTAGTTTTCAGGATTCTTGTTACGTTAAGAGAGTCGATCTTCCTAGCTGTTCTGAAAGATGATCGACTAGACGACAAAAAGAGACATTTGAAATCGAGCTTGAATAGCTACTCATGCCCAGCTTTTGGAGGCGCTGTGACGCGACCGCACGCGACACCACTCATGAAGTGTCATTTCCATCTTTTGGGAAAGTGCGGAAAATCTCAAAATGTCGTACTGAGTACGAAAGTGTTCTCCTTGATATTGTGAATCGAAGTGAGATGTGCTTGTTCACGGCGACAGTAGCGTTCAGCTTCGATAAACGACGTGGGCTCCGCGCAAAACTTTAAAATACCAATTTTTATTCAAAGCTCGCTGGGATTTTTCATTTAACAAGTCTCCTTCCCTCAAAATTATTTTTCTTCACGAGTGACGGCGATAAACTGAGGATCATTTCGACATCGCCATATGCCCCCCTTAGATGTCCGACAGACTCGGCGATTGTGCCGAGCCATGGGCGATCGCGATCGCTCTGCAAAACGCGCTCCACCCGCGATCGATACCGATCTTGACGGCAGAGCAGGTGACCGAACCCTGCCGGCCGACTATATCGATCGTGGGCTGAGCCAACGCCCGTCGCTTGCGATCGCCCATCGCGGCACAATCGCCGAGTCTGACGGATATCTACCCCGCTCACCTCTTCCACTGCCCCTCCCACAGTACTACGCTGGATGCATAGCAAGCACCTCATAGGGGCTTCACAACAATGAGTAGCGTTCCCGGCCCCACCTCCTGATAAGCGTGGAGTATGCATTCTGAGTGCTATCTTGAAAACAATGGGTACCATATAAGCATGCAGGGTAAACATGCTTACCGGGTGAGGGAGCTATATTTACCAGACTGACAGGCTACATGTGAGGTTTTTTGCTCGGAAGATGCAACGCAAGCGGCTTTACAAGACCTTACATCAGCTCAGCACCTTTCCCCGTCGAAGTATTAGCCCCAGTCGCTGCCCTTTATCTGTCTGTTTACTGACGCTAGTGGCGTTGAAGAACTCGCTCAGATGTTCATGCTGACGTGACGACTATCTTGGAAACTCTTCCAGCGCTTAAAGATCACAGGAAGCAGGGCCCTATTGTGCGACCATTTTCTCCGGTCACCTGGGTGCCTCCCTTGCTGTCCTGCTTTCATGTCCGGCCACCGGCATCATGAGTACTACATTCTGTACGATCCTCTTCGCGCAGAACAAAACACGCTAATGATGTAATTTTTAGATTCTTGTTTGGGTTAGGCCGGTAAAGAAGTGTCAGCTCGAGCTTAAGTGCGAATTTGCTCAGAACTCGAGCCTAAACTTCGGTAGTTTGGGGAAAGAATCCGAGTTAGCACCGTACCCATGATATTCCTTTTGACGGAAAAAATGCAGCAAAATTGGACCACCTACCATGAAGCAGCCACCTTCTGGTCCCTTCCTCCACGTAGTGCAATTGCCTGCATCGGTCATGGCCCACGTAGTCATCACCACCAAGAGGGCAAACATCGTCCTGAAACTCTTGCCAGATAGCATAAGTCAGACATCAACAGACTACTAACAAATTCTGAAATTTTGAAAAGAGTGACGGTGTTCAATTCGACTTCAGAGGATGACTCCAACAAACGATCGAAACGATTCTTCAAATGTTATTAGCGGCTTCTAAAGTACTTGAGTCTGATCTGATGAGTTTACACGAACGGTCTTTTCTATATGAATCGTCTCGGTGAGACACGCTGGCCTTTTTCGGACTCTCACTCCACTCTCAGCAACTTTGGGTAAACTGAAAATATTGCCATGTGAGACTTACGGGCGGTAGTTCCTGAGCTGCTACAAATCAAGTGAATTATAAAATTCATGAGCACAAATATCCGTCTAGGCTATTCCATGTGGTCCACGTGTCGAAACAATTGAGCGCGTTTGATTGGCGCAACAAAAAAAAACTTGTGGGAGAATTTGAAGACGAAAGGGCCCAAAACATACTCTGGAAGGTCGGAAGAAGCTATAACGTTGACTAGCTAGGACGTTGGGCGCTATCGCAATATATAGGGGCATTTTGGTGTCAGTGCATCTGGAAATAGCGTACTGCCGTTTTCGTTGAAAACGAAACTAAGTTTAGGTAGCGGTAGAGAACACATCTAGGGTCGTTAGCCATTCCATTTTCGCTCGAAGCTTCTGTCCTCCTAGCTTACCACTGAGGGAAGATGCCGCGTACAGTACGCTAGCGGCCGAATTGTCGCTGAGCCTGCTCAGAGAGAGAGAGAGAGCATCCATAGTGGCGAAATATTAACGCTGCCTTTCGCGACCGCGCAGGATTGCGCAATAGCAGCAGCGTCAGAAGATTTTTCTTCAATAAAATCCGAGTGAAGGGAGATTTCCTCTGCCCAGGGCTGGCGTAGATGAGCGAGGGTATGAAGATTCTTTCCATGGAAGAAAACTTTCCAAATTCCATTTCAAGCCCTGCAGCCACAGTAATACCATTGTCCCGAGTGAGAGCTTTGTCAGCCACCGGTGGCTGACATTGTCACGAATGGGGTTAAGGAAGCTAAACCGAATCTCCGACGCATGTAGCACCATTGTCGCTCATTCAAAGACAAGATCGCACGATTACGTTTGGAGGTACGATTCCCGAGACCTGATGACAACCCATACACCTTAATATTAGTGCGCGGCGAATAACATAGAGCTGTCTATGTCTCCGATCGTCGGCTCGTCGTCTCAGAGTCCTGTCTGTTCCGTGGCGACGTCCATTGTCCAGAAATGCAGGTCTTCCCAGGCATCAGGTTTTCTCCCTTTTTCTTCACTGGTGATCCATTTCTCTAGTATCAAGTGGAAATGCAGGGTCTTCCCAGGCACCTGTGAACCTTCGAACCTCCTTTAGGAATTGAACCTAGCGAAAATGCTTCAATTAATATCCTTGCTGAGAAGGGTATTTTAAGCTCTGATGGAATGAGCCGTTCAGAATGAGAAATTTTGAAGTCGCATTCATACTCCGCGAGTTGACAAAGAGCTTCTAATCGACAACGGCCAGACTTAAGATGGTGGGTACGAGAATACAACCGCGACAGGCTAATCATTTCATTGCAGAAAACATTACATTTTGTGAAGGCCATCGTCACTTGTGGTGCATGATCTGAACTCGACGCACTCTTCTCGCTTTTGAAAGGGAGGGTACTTCACTTAGGTGACTCGTCCATCAGCATGGCAGTTCGCCGCGCGAGTCCCAGCTTCTTTTCCTATTCGTGATTTTGGGTTCTGGTTGTCAGTGCGCGATAACTCCAAAGGGCTATGGATCATGGACGTTGTTCGCCAGCTTAAGAGAATCTACCTGTCCTAAAAGAAGGACGGCCCAAACGGCGCGGCAATATCTCTGCACGGGTACGGCAGCCGAGCCCATTGTCGTTACTTCCCCTCATCAGGTATCCGGTGAATCTGTGCTTCGCTTCATCGACGTGAAGAAGAACATCGTTGACTTCCGACATGGCTCTGACGTCGGAATTATAAATGAGCTCCCTTTGGCGACTTAAAGGCACAACCCAGGCAGAGTGATGTGAACGCTTCTCTTCGGTCTGTAGTATGGACCCCTAGAGACAATCACAAATGTGGCGTTCCCGTGCACGGAAACCAACCGACAAGAGCGCTTGGGCCTTGCAAAGTAAGCTGCTGAAGCTGCAGATTTTTTCTCTTATCAGGCTGTTGTCTGGCGATCTCTCATCTGTAGCGCTCTCTCGCCTCATACTCTCCTCTCCGCGCTTAGTCTCTCATTCCCTTAGCACAGCCGATTAGGAAGGTGAGTGAGCCCTTAACCTAAGCGTTTTTGACGGATTCTTTTCCTTTTTTCTTTACTGACGGCCCATTTCGCAGCTAATGGCATTCGGCATTCGTGTGCCAAAACGTGTTGTAGCTTATTACAGGAGTAAAGTGAGGGCGCTTTCAATCTAAAACATGGAAGACCTTCTTTTTGGGATGTTTTTTGCAGTTTTCATGTGCTTACACTAGTGCTAATGTACAATACTTTATTGCTATTACAAACACAGTTCCAAAAGAGTAGAACTAAAACATCATGAAAATTTGTGCAGTCTGTGAACATCTGCAACGAGCTCAACAGCGATTCTTCTTGCACACAAATGGCATCATTCTGGAGCACAATTTCAAAAACCAGCCGTTTTGATAAGCGAGTCGGGAAGTTTCCATCTGAAACGAATTAGGTCAACAATAGTGTTTCTTCCAAGCGCGTTGATGATAATATTCAAAATGTTCAAGCCATCCATTGAGAGTGGCAGGCAATCCACATCTGCAGACCTGAAGGCAACCTGGAGAGCGGAGGGGGGGGGGGGAATTATGTGGTTCTCCGATAAAAGGGCGTATTTGGGTTCCACGTGAAAGGGGTGAGGGAGGGGGCTGGGTGGGACTGGCAGCGAAATGTAATCATGTTGAAGAGTAGGACTGATCGTGAGAAGTTTATGGGTCTTCGATAAGTTTAGACTTTAGGACTTTGCAAGAGTTTGCGGACTTTGATGTTTTTGTTATATATAATCCCCCCATCTCCTCCTGTGGAGCCATATTTTTGGGTGAATTTATGTGTAATTTATTTTGAAAGTAGGAAGTGTGACTGCGCAGGTGGGTCGCGGTGCTCAGCAAAGGATTGCACTGGTCTTTCGGATATGTGGTCTCATTTTTCTGCCTGGAGACGTACTGGCAAAATTTTCTCGGAACGTGGCCCACGTTGCAAATTCTTGGCTCACCCTGTGTGTTAGGAGGTCTAACCGCACGGGCGTTGCTCAGGAGACTCCACCCTGTAGCGGTGACGCTTGTTGGCAGATTGTCAACGTGGTAAGGGATGCCTTCTTACAATCGGTTCCCCATATGTAATAGTGGGTTTGGAGATAGCTAGAAGGCATCCCATAAAATCGGTGGGAAGACATGGGCGAAAACTCGTCCAAACGCCGTATTGTCGCAAAATCATCCGAAGCTCTTTGCAGTTCAAGGCGGAAAAGGGGACACTTCCAAAGATTTCAGAGTTTTTTTCGACCGTCGTATGAGGGTGGGTGCTTATCATCAAGGCCCATTTCTTTGTGAGCAGTGAATCTCATACCTAGAGATTGTAGGATGTGCTCTGAAAGGAGTGCGCGGAATGGTGACTCAGTGGTCGACAAGGGTTCCGCTCGTCATTGACGGGAAGGGCCGAGGTAAAAGCTCAGATAGGGGGTGGTTGGACGAGCATAACCTCGTGGAAGATACGATGCGATAGATGATGAGAAGGTACGGCTGTATGCACACCGGAATGAAAATGGACCGGTAACTGCGGTATTATATCATGTACGATGCCTTGTCACCCCCTCATCCGAAATTGTCGGCAAGGCTTGAAATTGAAGGCAAGATTTCTGACTCCTTTCACACAATGGGTGGCGCAACTGCCCTCGAGGGCACTTTTCATCGGGTGTTCTAAGCTCCACATCCATGTGCTTTTATCCACTATGATACCCTAGTGCATCCAATGGGGGGCCCTTCCACGGGAATCATCAGGACGTCTTTCCAATGTACAGAATGGTCGATATATTCTTGAAACGAACATATGCACAAGATTTCGACTCATCCATCTGGGCTAAATAGGAACACTCTCTGCATTCGAAGTAATCAAGGTTGGTTCCGTCAGTCCATTTCCACGACGAGGTCTTGCCGTTTTTAATCAGACCCAGCCAAACTGGTGGAGACACGCTTGTGGAGCCGTACTTGAGTGCTCCGGCACCCTCTTTTTGAACAAAACCTGAAAAAAAACATTATTTAGGTCATAAACTTTGATTAGTGGCACCCGTCTGTGGTAAACAAACCAGTGGGTGAAACGTATGAAGCTTCCCGACAACGTTTTTTGAGCTTCTCTATTTGATGAGTTCGTTTAAAAAGCACAGCTGGGAAAAATGCCGGACTACGAAACCATTGTTTTGAGCAGAGAAGCGTTTCAACGACATTATATGACGCCGTACTTTGGAGCAGCTGGCTTGCTATGTCCGCGCCAGAGTCAACCCTGCGTTGCGCAGTTTCGCCCGATTAGACACGTTCTCTCGCGCGAACATTCACACTCGCATGCTCGAGCCGTCTGTGTCTCCGCCCATACAGCGTGCGTTGAGGATCTCTCAACGTGCCGTTGCGAACTGCGCAACGCAGGGTTGACTCTGCTTCCCGTCCATCGTGGGGTGAC